GGAAGGATTTAGCGGGATATGGACCAAATGCTAACAAATGGGACTAGATTAATTTAGGATATCTGGTCGGCATGGACGAGTTAGACTGAAGGATCTGTTTCCATGCTGTACGACTCGATGACTCAATAACCCTGCAGGGCACCACTATTAACCAGTCTCCACACATGACTACCCCCATTAAGAACAAAGCCAGATTACTACTCAATGTATGATCTGTCCACCTATTCCACAGGATTCTTCTTTAGAAAGTAACCTATCATCTGGTATTTTGTCAAAAACTCTCAAATTCCAAGTAATGTTTATATTTCCCTCCAGGAGTCCATCAAGCAAATGGGTTGAGATTGCAGCTTAGTATATAAAGATCATTCGGGGGTGGGAAGAGTTGCCTTGTTTACTTCCTTTTGCTTCATACGCCTGACTTACCCTAAGTCCCAAAGACCACCAAAACAACCATTCTACCTAAGCGGCATTAGAAGCTTAGTTGTAAAATCACATCAGTGTTTTGTGCCAAACCACTTCAGAACAATACGCAGCTATTTTATCAGGTAGGTTAAGGAAAGCAATAACATTTTAAACTTTGAGAGAAAAAAAAAGGTTCAGGAAGGAAATTGCTACAGTTCTGATATTATTTGTTCAGCTTTTGCAAAATGTTTATGCAGAAACCTCATGGGTCTACCTTGAACAGACTGCGGAGCTTATGAGGACAAAAGCCATGCCACTGTTCTCAGGCAGATCATGCGTGGAAGCACTGTGAGAGAAGGATGCTGAATAAATGAGTGTCCTGCACAGAAAGTAAACAATGTCACATGGCTAGACATGAAGCAACATTTGGAACGAGCAAACTGCCTTGGTGCCAGATGAATTCAATCTATTAAAGGGGAAATGGGTGAAATGAAAACAGTATGAAGACCGACAACAAAATGGACAATTGCTGGAATTACTTTATCAGCCTTGTATTCTACTTGGTCAGATTGATCCATCAGTTTACAAAATGTACTATTTCACAGTGACATTTTTTTAAAAATAGGACTATTGAAAGAATAGCAAGAACACAAACAAACTATGCTTGTCTGTCGGGTTTGTTTTTGTGGCCTTCCTTAATCCCAATACAATGCAAATGAAGGAAGTAATCTGAAAAGCATTCAAATCATTTGGATTGAAACTGGAATGTAGTGACTATTTGCTACAAGCAAATTCTGAAAAGGCAAAAGCTTCTTCAGCTCATTGCACTTGAGTGCTGACTTGACCCAAGATCTGATACTTAATTTGCAAGAAACATTTTGTTTTCTTGAATGAGAAAGTGCATCAAGGGTTTATCCAAATGCTATGAGATTGGGCAGATCTGGAAACATTTTCAGTGTGCTGTTAAAACATCAGTGTTATCTGGTATATAATTTTTTTGAAGGGATGCTAAAGTTCTAATCTGATCTTTGACACCAAAACCTGTCTGCAATAATTAATCAGGACGCCTCTAAATCCCAGCATTAAGACTGAATGTGGATTTGTTTGAAGGGGCTCAGTTTTCTTTCACATTGCCCAGTTGTTAACTACAGCAGCATTTCCAAAAAAAAATTCATCTGTTCTTTTTAAGGAAAGACTACTCTGGTACAAAGAAAGGGGTTCATTAGTGGTCCTTTATTCTCATTCTTCTCTGTACTGAGTCCTTTTCATATTTTGGCTTGACATTTTTCCAAACCGGCCTGGTTTGAGAATACATGCTTTCAGCCAAAGTGGAAGTTGTACCATGTGGTTGTGTAGTACTCCAAGTAGTTCAACACTGTTTCTCTGATTGTAAGTATTTTATCTGGTACAGTGAGCTGATGGAAGCTTGAGACCAGTAGTCAATTAGATATGATTGAGCTAGGTCTTAAAGCAAAAGAATTTCATTCACTCATGTTTTTCCTTCACTTGGCATGACAAACAAGACAGTGACTTTCTCATCTGCCTCAGCACAGTGGCTAAGTGGTTAGCACTGCTGTCTCACAGCACCAGAGACCTGGGTTCGATTTCCCCCCTCGGGTGACTGTCTGTGTGGAGTTTGCACATTCTCCCCGTATCTGCGTGGGTTTCCTCCGGGTGCTCCGGTTTCCTCCCACAGTCCAAAGATGCGCAGGCTAGGTGGGTTGGCCATGCTAAATTGCCCATAGTGCTCAGGGATGAGTGCTATAGGGGGATGGGTTCTGGGTGGGATGCTTTGAGGGTTGGTGTGGACTTGTTGGGCCGAATGGCCTGTTTCCACACTGTAGGGATTCTATGATCTATGATCCACCTGTCTCTTCCCAATTCTTACAGGCTGCCTGGTTAAAGGCAATTGAACTCAAGAATTTCTTAAAACTTCATCATTCCAAGTTTAACTGTTTGAATAAAAACAAAGTTGCTGGAAAAGCTCAGCAGGTCTGACAGTATCTGTGAAGAAGAAAACAGAGTTAATGTTTCAGGTCCGGTGACCCTTCCTCAGAACACATTGGCTTAACTGTTTGAAATTTGTATTCATTTCTCTGATACCTAGCCCTTGACTACCTATGGTTTACATATCATTCTTCTCTCACTCTGTCACATCATAAAATTGCTATAGTACAGAAGAAGGCCATTCAATCCATCACAGTACCAGACCAAATGAAACCCGAAAGAACCACGGATGCAGTAAATCAGGAACAAAAACAGAAGTTACTGGAAAAGCTCAGCAGGCCTGGCAGCATCTGTGAAGAAAAAAGTCAGAGTTAACATTTTGGGTCCAGTGATCCTCCCTCAGAACTGATGGTAGCTGGGAAAACATCGGTTTATGTGCAGAAAATAGGGAGGGGATAGGGAATAAATGATAAGATAGAGCCCGAAGAGAGAGAAGCGGAGTTGGACAGGCAAAGGAGTTGATAATGATCTGGCTAGGAGAATGAATAGTTGTTAATGGGAACTGTTAATGAGCAACAATGGATAGGTGTAAAGGCAGGTCATATGATAATAAGGCCTGGTATGTGGCTAAGACATGGGAGAGTTTAGGCCCTAAAATTATTGAACTCGATATTGAGTCCGGAGGGCTGCAGGGCCCCCAAGTGGAAAATGAGGTGTTGTTCTTCCAGCTTGCGTTGAGCTTCGCTGGAACACTGCAGCGAGCCTGAGACAGAGATGTTGGCCACGGAACAGGGTGATGTGTTAACATGGCAAAACCAGTACCAGGCCAAATCCAGCTGCAACTAATCAAGCAAATTTTGTTTTATAAAACATTATTTTCAATTTCACACGATCTTTTAAAAAAATGGCAAGATTTTGTTTTTTCTAAATTAGTTACTTGAATGCTTAATATGAACAATTTTACCTATCTTTGCACCCAATAGCAAGTTCCTTTCAGATTGCATGGGTCAGATTCGCATTAAAGTTTCCCTTACCTTGTCGCAACAATTTCAGTCAATCTTATATCTTAGCAGAACATACTTCCCACTTATTGCTAAATCGAGGATCGCTATCTGCTGTGGGTCATGGTCTGCAGGAACAGGGTTGAAACTCAATGTAAAGAGGTTTCTCACCAAATGATCAAGTGAAGTGTCCTTCATTCATTTGGGATGGCTTTGACCCTGTTCCCAGATTACTGACCTTCCCAGTTTGTTACTTTAGAGAATCAAAAGTTTCATGAATGGAACACATAAATGGCTCAGCTTACTATGCCGCTGCAGGTCTGTTGTTTCTGACTGTAAAGATTGTTTATCTGGCACTACAGATTCACAATTTCCTTCTGTGCACTAAATTATATGCCACATATAATCCATGGTTCTCATTTTTTTTAAACATAATATGAGACCTACTGACTCAAATTGTTTACTTTCCAAGGTGCAGCAATGAGATTGTAGACATGCTCGCCGATCTGGTGTGTTTGATTGCAAACTTTTCATCACCCTCCTAGGTAACATGGTCAGTGCGCCTTTGGTGAAGTGTCGGTGTTCTGTCCCGTTTGTTATTTATATGCCTCGGTAACAAACAGGACAGAACACCAGAGGCGCACTGACGATGTTACCGAGCAGGGTGACGAAACGTTTGCAACTAAACCCACCTGCTCGGCGAGGAAGTCTCCAACCTCGTCCACGACCCGAGCTACAAATCTTCTCAAAAGCTTTAAGATTTAGCAATGATTCAACTTAAAATACAATCTACTATTTTCTAAACTACCCCAATAATATGTGGCTACAAGAGCAGTTATTCTGCCATGATTGTCTCCTTTCCTAACTCATGTCTGATTAGATGTGATGGAATACTCACCTCTTGTCTGGAAGTTTGCAACCTGAACAATATTCAGAAAGCTCCTTACTATCCAGACTAAAGCAAGGCATCTGCCGCCTCAAGACGTTTATTTCATGTGTGATTGGTGCAGGTATCCTCGATGAGACGCACTGCAGCAAGTCACCAAGGCTTTTTTTGACATTACCTTCCAAACCCTTGACCTCGACCCTGAAAAATGACAAGGAGGGGCAAGGGAACATCACTGCATGCCAGTCCCTTTCCAAGTTAGAGACTATCCTGATCTAGAAAGAAATCACCATTCCTTCATAGTCAATAGGCCAACATCTTAATGACACGGTGGAACTACATTCACCCATATAGATTGCAGTAAGAGACACCACCAGCTTCTCAATGCATCTAAAGATGGGTAATATATGCTAGCATTGCCAGCAAGGCCCACAAGCCCATGAATTTTTAAATCATTTTTTAAAACATTCAGTCACGCGAGTTGCCAAATGTTTCTCTTTCTGTGACTAAACTTCAAGACTCCTCCAACATTGGCTAATTCCTTGACTAGAGTGGAATTACAGCAGAGCCTGATTCTATCCCTCGTCTATGCCAAAAATTGATGAAACCCTGACAGTAACTTTCTCCCCAGTTGAATGGAGAGAGGAGGAGTTACTAATGACAGGGCTAAGTCAGAATGGGCAAAAACATTTTCATGAATGTAGAATGAGTCTACAATCATCTATTACGTTTTGTTCTGTTTTTCACCCATTACACCCCTCTAGGCCATTGAAAGAGGACAGGATAGCTAACTGCATATGGCCATAGCATGTCTCCAAAAGTCCACTGAAGCAGCATAGTCCCTGACTTGTCTGCTCATCTACCACCGGTACCTGTCTCATGTAGAGAGACTGGGGAGAGAGCAAAGAGATTTATATCTTCACAAGACAGCTGCACAACATCCTAACAGAAGAGGAACGAAATGGAGAAAAGGCTGTAATTCCCTTCAAGCCCCTTCTTTACAAAATGGAGGTAAAATTTGGCGGTCGTTGTGTCCATTTTTCAGATGTAGCGATGAAAAGTTAACAGTGGGCGGGTTTGATCAAGTGGGGCCACTGCTGAAGTAGTTGGGTCCTTCAGTCGTCCCAAGCAATCATCTGAAACTGGACTGGGCACATTGAGAACGTAAATGAGGAAATCTATTACTGGTCTAAATACTACCCTGTTTAAACGATCTCTATAAAGCAAAGCAGTGATTGTGGCTGTTCCATTCAGAATCTTCAGTCGCTGCTATAGCCTAAGCAGAGGCTGCCACCAACAGGTGGTTTGTTTAAAAAACGAATCATTTTCAAAACTACCAATGCTATTCATTTGGGAAGGATGAATGATCTCTGAACTCCACAGTATCCAGAGCAGAACACCGCAACACGCACCCCCCACCCCCACCACCTGAGATGCCCAAAACCCAACTAATCTCCCCAAAGAACTGACCTCTTGGCTCGTCTGATCAAGGCAAATTGACCAATTTTCAGTTTGTTCAAGTGGGCTAGACCCCTGCAAAGGCAGAAACCCTGGTCTTTCACTCAATCAAGATTAACGAGACCCATTTGTGGGGCAGCCTTAGTCTTATGCTCTTGATTCAGGTGTGTGCTATAGCTGCCTGAGTTGGAGCACCATTAAATTTCTATCCCCAATTATACAAACTGCACCATGAATACTCCACCCAAAAACATCTAACCCTCTGTGATGTGAATTAATAACTGATAAACCTTCCAAGATGACAATTGTCTGAAATTCCTTTCTGACCCTTAGATAATCAGGGAAAACTCAAGTTAAGCGTGTTAATATAATATTGCAACCTTAATTATTCAACCCTGACCAGTTGCATTCCACAGATGACATTCCCATGCATCCAGCAGACCAGAAATAATTGTCTTCCATCGAGAGTTTCATCATCTTGCTTATAGTTATCTTTGTAATGCGATTTCAGCTTTAATCAGATATTCATGCATGTTTATGTAAAACAAAAGAAAATAAGTGGGTGTAGCATTGATTGTTTTATTGGTGGATACGTAGTCCACAAATTCATTGGCTTTTCCTTATTATGTTTGTAGTTAACTTTGCAAAAGGCAATGTGTGTGTGTGGGCTGGGCCCCTACAGTTCAATAACATCCATAGCAAGAGAAAGCCATTCAGATTATTTCATTGTGGACTACTTCTGGCTACTTCACCTCTTGTGAACTTTAATTTAGTGAACACGCATTTGCTTCAAAAACTCTCCTGAAGATAAATACTTCACTCCCACTTGTCAAAAGTTATCAAACACCTGCCACAAACATTGAATGTGTAGCCAAAGAGGGAGCTGTGTCAGTTACATACAGAGCTGTAGAATATTCCTATTAGAAAAAAAATAGAAGGGTAGTTCTCCCAATCTGTCTCCTGTAATTGATAGAAATTAATTTATTCACAGGGTAAAATCCTTGACAACTTACTCCTCCACCCCTGAATATGTTGACAGTGGCACAGTGGTTAGCACTGCTGTCTCACAGCGCCAGGGACCCGGGTTCAATGACCCCTTGGGCAACTGTCTGTGTGGAGTTTGCACATTCTCCCCGCGTCTGCGTGGGTTTCCTCTGGGTGCTCCGGTTTCCTCCCACAGCCCAAAGATGTGCAGGCTAGGTGGATTGGCCGTGCTAAATTGCCCATGGTGTTCAGGGATGTGCAGCTTAGGTGGGTTTGGGTAATGGGTCTGGGTGGGATGCTCTGAGGTTCAGTGTGGACTTGTTGGGCCAAAGGGCCTGCTTCCACACTATAGGGATTCTATAGACTATGGACTTATCCAATGCCCATACACCACCACCCCTTCCCCAAATTAATATGGTCAACAATAGCTGGTTCATTCTGACAGTATTCAGAGATGATTACATTACAGCATTATTTAATTCTGTCCTTCGTATATGACTATTCCCACTGACACAGCTGTATGTTATCTAAGAGAAGTTAACTTAATGTTGGTTTTATTTGATGGGGTTGGACTATTAATTGCAATTTAACTAAAAATACAGGGGAGGTGTTTACAATGTTTGATGTGAACAGAAACTAAATAGAACCAACAAAGATATTTACAAAGTCTGGTATTCAAAGCCTAACTCAGGTGTTCAGATCCCTGAGTTAATATTTTGCATATGTTTACAGCGATGCACAGGCAACTACAAGTTATAGGATTATGTTATTCAGAATTATTGGTGGGAAAGTGGAGAATGGTTTTAATATTGTAAGTGGTTAGGGTCCAGAATGCACTGCCTGAGATTGTGGTGACATTTACTGTACTTTCTTAGTTTCTATAGAAAAACCACTGGAAGAGAGCCTCCAAGATGAAAACTCATCTGACCCAGCAAATCCACTGTGACCATGTGAAACATTGTGAGTGGGCACTAATTCTATACTGCCATGGATCTGATGGGAATCATGGCATCTCAACACTTTAGGTTTAGATTTAGATTGAGACTTTATTGTCACTTGTACTCGAACACGGGTTACAAAAGTACAGTGAAAGGTTTTCAATGTTGCGACATACAGTGCCATCTTAGGTCCAAGTACCTAGGTACAAAACTTTAAGAACAAGGTAAACAGAAATAAGGAACAAAGTCAAAAGCTAAATGTTACAGTCACTCTGACTATAGTGTAAACAAAATCAAGGATTAAAGTTAAAAGATCAACATTGCAGTCTTTCTTAAGTGCTTAGCCATACTGGGATCACACTTCCTACAAGGGCTCAATCTCCTTCACTTTCCTTGCACTGGCTTGATACCCCCTACTCTTATTGTCAGATGTCTGGGGATACTCCATCGCCACAGTGGGCTCGCTCCTGGGATCTCAGACCGCGAAAGTCCCAAACCAGGCCTTCACTGCTGCCACACACTGGATGGGCCAAACTCCCAGTCCAGGCACCATCCATGCTGGGCCTCAAACTGTCCTTCGGTCTGCACCTGGGGCATTGGGAACTTAAGTTTCTCTGTCACTCCAATATTCACTGTCTCTGTGCGTTCCAAATGACTCACCGTGTTTCTTTACTACTTTTTTTGAAATGTGAAAGAGAGAAAGTCCGTGACTTGAAGTGTTACAAAGAAGAACTGTCAAAGTTTGCTAAATAAAAACTACATACAATGCACTCAGCAGGCCCTGTTAGCCAACTGTCACTTCTCCCACCACATAAACATGTGGGAGAGGATTGAGGGAGTGGGCACCTCATATTTAAAGTGTCACATGTGTGCCCATGTGGTACATTGGATACCGGTTGAGTAGCTCCAAGAGATTGATTAATTGGGAATCGTTGTATTGGAATGAGGGTCAATCCCTTACATTTTAGTCAGGATCAGTTCCTTAAATTTTGGGAGGCATTTAAATTATCAGCTACGCAGTGAGTTTCACAGGCTTCAGGAAACTCAAAGGTGATGGGACCTGTCAGATCCAGAGCTCCAACACTCTTTGTGGAACAGGAACAATCAGAATACAATATGGGTCAACCCTCATCCAGCCCCTGACTCTCCTGTGATCTGAACCCAATTACTTGTGATATCTGGAGACTACCTACAGCAGCAGAAAGAGGAATGTCCAGGAAAAGGTCACAGAATGTAAAGTATTAACTTTTGAGAGATTATAAAAGGTGTAGGGCAATTCAAAATAACAATAAATATAGACTTTCCGGCCACTTTCATAATTGGGTTTCTACTTGCTTTTTGTAATGATACATTAAAGATTGAGTCATTCCACTAAATAATGTTTGCGTGCCTCTCTTTAAGGCAGGCTCTTCCAATGTATATTCACATCAACTTTATCAATAAGGTTATCAACTGATGGTTGTAGCAAAAGGACTCCTCTGAGCCTTCTAATTGTAACCTTAGTCAATCACCAATTTTAGCTTCAAGCAAATGGATGGACAGCTATGGTATTTGCTGTACACCTCAGCAGCATTCTTGTCAATTTTAACATTAAAATAATAACACGTCACATTTGAGAAGTGGGCTCTAAGGCAGTCTGGAATTCAGTAAACCAAACTGGTTGACGAATTGTGCAAACAACTCTGAAAAATCACAACTTCTAGAAATTAGTCATTTGGGTATGTTGACGGAAAATGGTTGCTCATGTTTACAACAAGGCAACAGATAATGGAAACTAGTGTCAAACCAGTCACCAGATATAGAGTGTGACAAACATTAGTCAGGCTGCTGGCTTTAGGAGCAAACCAGATTTTGGGAAAATCCAGAAGCAGTCAACACTTTCTTTTACATCTATTGACAGAAAAATAAGCAAACAAATACTCACTGACATCCCTCAGGATTCAAATAATGATTTCCAGGAACAACAACTTGTTAGTCATTTAGAGAAAACTCTCAATTTTTATGAGGGCAGAGACAAAGACTGAGCTGAAAGTGAGAGATTTAAGAAGGAGACAATTCTGATGGAATTCTAGGAGGGTGAAATCAAAGTGGGAGATCACACTGTGTAACAGATTTTCAAAGAGAGATGGCAAAGGAACGGAAATATCTATTTTGGAATATACCTCCCCTAAGAATCCTTTTTATTAACACTGGATAGTTAATTTTTGCCAAAGGCATTACAGTTAAACACAGCCAGAGAGAAGACAGCATCAGTTTACACTTCTCACAGTGAATTAGCCATTTGACATTTTCTGAATTGAGCCTCATCACCTGTTTTGGGTGTGTTCCTGGTTTGAGAAAGCTTCAACAATCAAGTTGAGAAATAACATGCAGCTTCTAAAGATTAAAGATGTGCTGCTTAAATTGGTGTTTTTGGCTCTTGTGGAACATTGGTTGCATCCCTACCTCTCAGATAAGAGACCAGTTCAAGTCCCACCTGCTCCAGAGGTGTGTACTGACATCACTGAACAGGCTGATAAGAAAATTTAAAATGTGCAATTTTGGACATCGGAAAAATAAAATGTGTGTTTTTAAGGGCTCTTGTGGTGCACAGTGGTAGTATCCTCCCCCTGAGCCAGCAAACCTGGGTTCAAGTCCCATCTGCTCCAGAATTCTGTAATAATATCCCTGAATCGCTTGATAAGAAAATATATAAAAATGCTAAGATTGCAGCTTCAATCGCCACACTGACCAGTTTTCAATCTTAGAAGTAGTCTTTTGTAGCACAGTGGTAGTATCCCTCCCTCTGAGCCAGCAGGTCTGGGTTCAAGCCCCATTTGCTTCAGAGATGTAGCATAGCATCTCTGAAAAAGTTGATTAAAAATACCTAAAATGGGTGTATTTTTTTAAAAGGGCTCTTGTAGAGTAGAGGTGTGTGATGACAGCCCTGAACACGACAGGTTGATTAGAATTTTTCTTTAAAAATGGATGTTTCAACAGGCCATATGTGGTGAAAAAAGCCATTTGTTTGTGTGTGATAGCACTTCTGGATATTCAAAATTAAAATTAACTTATCTAAGATCAAATAGAACCATGGTTTCAGTGTGTGGTATAATGCTGATTGTTCCACATATTGTCATTAGTGGCAGAGTAAGAGTTGTTTAAAGTATCTCACTGTCACCAATCCTCCATTGTCTATACATTGTTTAGAGCTTGTCAAATGATCACTGTTAGGTGATACACTGCCATACAGTCTTTGCAGAAGAGACACTGCTCTTAGTTAACAAAATGGTTTATTGCATGATAGCAAAAGTAGAACATTACAAGTCACGTATAATCATTTGGTCTCTCAGGCGTCGTACATAATACAACTGCGCTCTGCAAAGGCTAGGTCTAAATGCATGGTCTTCACCTATAGATATGATCAACATCAACTGAATCAGTGGAGCTAATGCAACCACAAAATTAACTCTTCAGAACCATTACTTTTCAGAAATATCCTTCATGGTTGACCCATGATATAACCATAGCATATTTTACAATTTTCCTTTGGATTTGTAAGGATAGGAGGTCTTTCACTTGAGGACTGCTAACCTTGGTTCTAATTTCACCTGGAGACTCTTTTCTCTCTCAGATGTTCTTTGTGGAGGACATGCTTTAGTCCTTGTTCTTGATCCAATACCTTATTAATCTCCTGAATTCCCTTTGAGAGGTCCTCTTCCCTGATAAAGCAAGCAATTGCTCCATAACAGGAGCTCGGGGACTTTAATGTTGTGAATGCCCATCATAGAAGCCGCTGCTGAAACAAATACTTTTTTCCTTATAATACCCAGGTTCTGGACCATGCAATACCTTTCTAATCGGAAGCAGTAGTCTCTTTTTTTGCAGTATCCTGGATGTTTAGACCAGGCAGTTTCTTTGTCTTGAACATGTCCTAAATCTGTGACCATTGATCTTGCTCCCAGTGAGTCACATGCAGCTCATCTCCCTTGAGTTGTTGTTCAAGCTAAATGTTGACCATCCTTCTCTGTGGTGAAATGAACTTTTCAGACTCTCGGTCATGTTATTGAAACATGGTTAATCACTCAGCTCTCTCTCTTTCTGCCACCAGAGTGTTCACGGTTGCATTTTAGTTGACAGAAGGTTGAACCTACCCACTAATCCTGTAAATCTGTGACTTCCTGTATGTAGACCACAAATGCAGTAAGCGCAGAGGCATGTCTCAAAAGTCTAATGGGAGTAGTTATCACTGAAGTCTAGGAAGGCACCCATTAGTCAGGGGGTCCTGGCACAGTTAGCCAATAGCACCCTCTGATATCAGTTTGAGCATGCTGAGATGCTAGTGCATCCAGGGAGATGGTGATGGTTAGCCCTCACAGTTCAATGCTGGCAGTCCAGGGAGTCACAGGGACAAAGTCAGGGAGCTGTACTGATATCAGTCAGAGTTCTGGTCACTCATCATTTGGTCCTGTCCTTCTAAGTCACTCAAAGAGGCAGGTCACAGTCAATTCAGGGGATCTGACCATTATAAATCAACGGAGGTTATCACCAAGCCAGGGCTACAGGAGAGAGGCTGGGGAACTTAATTGTTGGGATTAGAAACAGAATGCTGGGTGCCTAGTGAGTGCCGGTCCAGTGAGTGAGAGGTAGCAGAGAGGAAGTGGTGACCCCTACACTTACAGAGCCTTCTTTCTGAACTGCTGGGCATTCCTTTTCACCTCAGACATAGCACTGAGCTGGGCTGCAACATCTGCCTGAGCTGGCTGTGTCTGGCGATGTGGCCTCCCATACGGGAACCTGGGATAACCTGGTTTGTCTCTGGAGGCTGACTTTGCTCGGTTGCTGCTTCACTCTCACTCTGCTGGCAATCTCATTTCAGCTACTGATTAACCGACTGGGAAAAATTGTCCTGCTGAAGCCGTAAGTGAGAAGTTCGCTTGTCTTCAAAACATTTGTGTTTTAGTTCTAGATTCTCTACGCCTGGCAGCGGCATGGAATTCAAATCTGTGCCACTGCTCACCACGTGTGCCCTGACCACTATTGGCACTTTACCGTATTAGTCACCTCTGCCAGTATGTGGTTCGGTTTAAGGATTGTTAGACATACATCACTGTCATCAAGCTCCTTTTTTTTTTTCTTTATTCATTCATGTGATGAGGGTGTTGCTGGCTAGGCAGCATTT